TTCTTTTTTTGTGGCAGAAGGGTTATTTGTATAAATTCAATAATGCTTGTTGCATTGAATCAAAAATTGGAAATACTCATTATTGGACAGGGCTTTGAGTAGAATGTCATATCTGAAGATCAATCAGAAAACCATGGAACCAAGGTGGATCTCAAGTAAGTCAACAGAAGCTCTTAGAAAGATGGCTTGGCCCCATAAACATTTCTGCCTGGCAGAAAGGATTAGAGAAGATACATGAAAGATTTTATAACATAAAATAACCTGGAATTTTCCAGCCCAGCATTGTAATCAGTAGAGATTACAAATGAGCAACCACACTAGAGTATTCTCTTGAGAAAGACTTTTTTATTATTATTTATTTTATTATTATCCATACATTAAATCATTATACATCATTTAGATTGTGAAGAGACTTCACCCAGCATGATATATACCTCAGTCCAGCCCAGTTGAGACCACCACACACAACCTCATCAACAGATAATAAACCTTACCTGTGTCCCACAAGTGTCTTACCTCTCCATTTGAAGGAAGAAAAAGAGACTGATCTTTGCTAGTAGATGGTATATCACAGAATACTTGGTAGGCAGGGCTGAATTGAGAAGGCTTAGGTGTGACTTGTGAGCTGGGCATTTGCTTTTCAACAATTTGAGTAGTTGACATGTAAATATTTTCTCAAATATTTAAAGCCAAACTGTTTCTGCTGTTTTAGAGTCATAAACAAAATTATACAAAATTATAAGAAATATTTTGAATATTATCTTTAAAATTCAGTATTTTGACATTTTGAAAGTTGTTCATTAACTGTCAAGAACTATGGAGTATGAGCAAAAAATATTTTTTTTGAATGTGAAGTAAATGTTTGTGGAAAAATGTAAAAATAAGTAAATTAATTAATAAAAAAATTCAAAAAAAGAGAACATTCTTTCCTGAATTTATCCCTCGATATTGTTTCTGCTCATCCATCTCAGCTAAAATGGCACCTCTTCCAAAACACTGCTCTGCCATCTACAGGATGCTATGTCCTCAGCCTATCATTTCATTCTGCTTTTGTGGTTACTTCCTGTTTTGGCCACAACTACCACATTCCTGTATCTCTCATTTACTGGGCTTGAATGTTGCCTCTCTCATTAGAAAGAAAGCTCCATCATGTGAGGACCTGATCTAACTTGTTTCTATAACTGAACCTGTAATACACAGTCCTGGACCTAATGCAAAGGAAAAGCTTAATAGCTACTTATTGAGGGACCAGCAGGTGGCATGGCAGTTCAGAGCACTGGACTACCACATGGCAGACCATGATTCTAGTCTCAGACTTGGAGGCTTCCTTTCTCTCTCTCATTCTATCCTTCTCTGGTCAAATTTAAATAAATAAAGCTAAATAAAATAATTCTTTAAAAAATAGCTATTAATTGATGAAAGGAAACATGGTAGATGGCCAGATGGGCGAAAACTCTCATGTATTCATGATGGCCTTACGTGGGTCATATGACAGAATATTTCCGCAGAGTCACTGTCACCCTTACAAAAATTTGGCATGGTATCACTAATAAATATTTCACAAATGAAAAAAATAAAGGACAGGAGAGAAGTAGTGTTGCAACTGGACACAATACTACTACTACTGCATCCAGGATCCAAATCTACATCTTCATTTCCAAACCATTCACTGTTTAGCACTGTCTACCTCCTCAGCAACCAGTAACTAGCGCTTCACAGGCCCTTTGAATCAGTAGAAGGAAATCCTGAATGACAAAAGATTGAATAGTAGCCCTGAGGGTGCAATGGTAACCCAATGCTCCATAATTCTGGAGCCATCTAAGAAGGTCTGTTTCATGACCCAAGGTCTGGCTGTATAAACCTGTTGCACATATCTCATGTGCTGTGATCCTGGCTGGCTGAGACTAGAGGTAATTTGTGTCATAAAGATCCTGCTCAGGATGCTCACCTCTCTTCCTCTCATAATAAATAAATAAATAAATAGATAAATTTAAAACAAAACAAACAAAACATCCCACAAAGTACTAAACAAAATATTTGCCATAGCTTTATAATAGAGTCATAGATTTCTAATAGAATGAATTCAAAGATTTGTAATTTAATGGTTTTTCAAGTTACTAACTGAGATAATCCTAGTAAAACTAACAAGTAGAGGGGGGGGGTGTCTGGAATTTCCACATAAAAGCACCTTCTGATACCCAGATGCCTATGAGTCTGTGATATTGCATTGATCCCAGCTGTTTTGTTGAGGCAGAATAGACACACAGAATATGGAGCTGTTAGTACCCTCAAAAAGAAGGAGAGAGCAAAGAAGAGGAAGAAAAGGAAGAGGAGAAATACAAGGAAAAGGAGAAGAAGCCAGAGGTTCTCACACACATGTAACAGGCTGGCTGGGTTCCACTTGGTGTGATTGTTTCCTGGTTTCATGCTAGGCTGACTCATTCCTGGGAGGGGTGAAGTGCCTCCCAGGAGAATAAATAGAGGAGTCCTGCATGCTCACTTCCAAAGGGAGCTCCTTGATCCCGGTCACATACATCTGAACAGCCAAAACAGTTGCCTCAACATGAAGCTGGTGATGGTCCTCATGCTGGCTGCCCTCCCCCTGTACTGCTACGCAGGTGAGTTTAATGCCACAAGGGTTACATTTGGACTAGGGACTGTTGTCTTAGCCCATGGGGAAGACTTTATAGTCTTCCAATCCTGGTACAGGTCAGCCCCAGTGAAATGGGTCAGTGTTTAATAAACTTAAGGACCGGTATTGATAATAGATGTCTACAGAGGTAGTTCCCTCCTTGGTCTTGTCCCCATACTGGGGCTTCATGGAGTGTCTTGTTGCCTTTCAAAGTGTCTCACCATGGCCACTACTACTTTGAACACCAGGGTTAGTCTTGGACTTAAATATTGGAATTAGATATTTCAGCAGGGTGAAGGAATAGTATAAATGATGGCTCCCTGGCATTGGGGTTCAAATGCGTTTTCTGAAGGACGCACTTATGAGATCTCCTTCACTGTGGGAGGAAATGAGAAACCTCCCAAGAGAGAAGGCTCAGGTGGCAGTGTGTGACCCAGTGGCTCACTGCATTGCAGAGTTGATTGGAGCTCTTCTGTAAGGCCTGTTAGCTCCTCTTCATACACAAAGCAGACGGGGGAGAAAGACTCTGATGTCTGTATATTGCAATGAAGATCCAGCAAGAGGGAAAAGCCCTGGCAGCCAGCAGCCAGCAATGGTATGTCACATATGTAGCATGCTTTGTGCAATGGCAATTTACATTGCACATTTACATGCCTTCCTCATTTGTTCCTGACATCGGTGTAGTTGGGAGAAATGGTGATACGCTGAAAGTCAGCTACCTAAGGCATTGCATGGCCAAGGGTAAACACAGTTCTTCTGACTCTGTGTTGAGCTCTTCTCTACCACAGGGGTGGCCACAAGAGATCTTGGACAAAAAGCTTTGTCTTAGGTTCTTTGTTGTCACAGACAATATTGAGAGTCAACAGAGCTAATGGACAATATTGTAGATCCAGTTTATCTAAACTACTTAAGGAACTGGCCCTGTAGTCTAGATATTAAGGGAGCTGGATCCCACATGGCTGACTGCAGTTCGTATCCCAGCTCTGGTGGCATGTTAAACATACTGTGTGCAGGCACATGCATATCCAAGATCTGACAAGATAGAGAAATGGAGGAGAAGGGATTGCAGCAGGATCAGAGAAATTCTTTGTCTTTCTGCCTCTGGTGAGTGCACATGTGCTTTGGCAATTACAAAGAAAAAGAAAAAAAATGGAAATCTTATCTCATGTTTTGAATGATCACAGTGAAGCATTGCATGACTTTGAAAGACCAGAGAAATGTTTAAGATGTTACAGCTACTTGGAGTTTCTCATTTCTCAGGTGCTGTCCTTAAGCAAAGTTCTATAGATTTTGTCTTTGTTGGGCTGGGGAGGGGATCGCTAGATATTGTAGGGCTTAAAGGTGTGTCCCCACTCAATGTATACCAAATGTCTGCACTCTATGGCAGAAACTGACAAAGAAGAAGGTATAACAACAGGGAGGGCAGGCATAGCTACCAGAGACTGTATAAAAAGGAGGGAGTAGTAGGGAGGGAGTGAGGGGCTCAGATAAAAACCCAAACATTTAACAGACACAAAAATGGAAAGTTGTCTGTTGATGAAGGTGTATATGGTCATATCTTGGACTTGTTTGACATGCACTACTTTTATGTTGGGGAAAACCATGTTATAAGCTATAAAGATGTAAAAAGATTACATGTAAATTAAAAAAAAGGAAATGTCAGAGCCTGTAAGTATTGAAAACATAGACTATGCATTATAATCTACCGGGATGTATAAAGATGAAAAAGATAATAAGTTTGCCCCAAAAGGGTTTCATGCCTTCAATAATGAACCTATTTTTATGTATTTTCTTCTCAGGTACAGGCTGCCAGTTAGTCCAGGAAGCAGTTAGAAATACGCTGGATTCTCAAGTATCTGTGCCTCAGTTCCTAGACTCTCTTCGAGTGTTCCTTACAGATACTGCCACTGCAAATGCCATGATTGAATTTAAACAATGTTTTCTCAAGCAACCAAAGGAAATTCTGGAGAATGTTGGACTCGCAATAGTAATTTAATTTTCTTCTTATGTTCTCTTAAAACCCATTGACCATAAGCAAGTTGGCTCAGAATATTTCACTAATTAGGCCAACAACTGGTGAAGAGTTTTCCTTTATTCTTTTTCTAATGTTTATTTTAAAATTTATTCAGAGAGAGAGAGCGAGAGAGAGCGAGAGAGAGAGAGAGAAAGAGAGAATTGAAGAGAGAGAGAAAAGGGCACCTCAATTGAGTCTACACAACACAATCCTCTTCTAGCCAGTCTTAACCCAAGCAGTTAGAAATACGCTGGATTCTCAAGTATCTGTGCCTCAGTTCCTAGACTCTCTTCGAGTGTTCCTTACAGATACTGCCACTGCAAATGCCATGATTGAATTTAAACAATGTTTTCTCAAGCAACCAAAGGAAATTCTGGAGAATGTTGGACTCGCAATAGTAATTTAATTTTCTTCTTATGTTCTCTTAAAACCCATTGACCATAAGCAAGTTGGCTCAGAATATTTCACTAATTAGGCCAACAACTGGTGAAGAGTTTTCCTTTATTCTTTTTCTAATGTTTATTTTAAAATTTATTCAGAGAGAGAGAGTGAGAGCGAGAGAGAGCGAGAGAGAGAGAGAGAGAGAGAGAATTGAAGAGAGAGAGAAAAGGGCACCTCAATTGAGTCTACACAACACAATCCTCTTCTAGCCAGTCTTAACCGACCAGGGTCACAGGTACACAGTGGTGCCCTGCACGATCAGGAAGGTACCTGGACATAAACTTTGGACCTTTCCCATGAGGGTCCTTGCATTACTTTTGTGCCACTGCCTGGCCTGAAATGTTTTCTTGTATCAGCTGATTTAATTGTTCAGTTAGTGTGATGACATTAATGTGAGAAAATTCCCCCAAGGTGTTGTAGTTGATCTGTCACTTCACTTTGAGAATCTTCAGATGAATAAAGCAAGACAAGAAAAGAAATCTCAAGGGAAGGCTTACTGATTCCTGAATTCCACAATACATGCACCCTCACCCCTACACTAACACACATTTACAAAGAAAAATGCATATTTTCTATAAATAGGACAAAAACCATCTAATTCTCTAGAATCTCCTTGGCTCTAGAAACAACCTTGAAGAAAGTTCTCCTTATTCAACAAGAAATGAATAGTAGTAATGTTCCTAAGTATTTTTTGGATAGAGTACAGAAAATGGCATAGGAGTAAGATCCTATACATCTTAAATAAAAAGAATTGGAAATGCACTTCCAAGCAATCAAAATCTTTGAGCATACATGATTAAAAATTTTGGACTTTTTAACGAACAAGTGCAGATCATAAATATGAAACCACTGTGGCTAAAGGAATTGCTTGAAACAAAAATCAGTGGTGAACCAATGAGTATTTCTAATTACAGATAGATGCTATTAAGTCTATTTTTCCTAGTCTAGATTCACCATGATAAATTACATTAAAGTCATTCAAGGTAGAAAACTTAGAAACATACCAAGAGGCATAAAGATACAAGTGAAGCTTCCTTAAGGGAACTCTGACACCTGTTGTAACATGGGTGAACCCTGAGAGCACATTGCTAAGTGAGACAGGGAATGAGAAGACAAATACTGCAAGACTCCACACATGCGAGGGACTCAGAGAGGCCAAACTCAGAGAAATGGAAAGTGAAATGGTGGTTTCCAGGGGTTGGTATAGAGGAAAATGGGGAGCTGTGGTTTAAAGGGAAGTTTTAGTTTTACAGGATAAGAAAGATCTGGAATTTGGTTATACAGTATTACTACTGAGTGTATAATGAGTTTTTCCATAAGTGGAAAATTTTATGCTATATATATTTTGCCACAATTAACACAAAAGTCAATAGCAACTACAGTTAAGGATGAGGGGATTGTTTTCCTTCAAAAGCCTGCTTAGATTAATTTACCGTGTGCAGCTCCAATATTTTGCAGGGAACACAGGTAATGGTGTGAGATAGAAGACTCTTTTTAATATTTCTAAAATGTAAGGCCATACAAAGACCACACAACCTCTTGTTTTATTGCATTTGTGCTAAAACCTTAGCAATTCCGTTTGAATGCATAATATATGTGCATACTATACGTGAGTATTTATAGCATAAATTATTTCAAAGAAAAGGAACCATGAAGAAAATTTACTTCAGGGGTCCATGGTGGGGATGAAATCTGTAAACAACAGTGCCTATTTGGTGTTATAAATATCTCTTGGATGACGTAGTGAATGGAGAGTTTTGCTTCTAATGTGAATTTTCTCAGGTGTTAGGTTTGTGGACAAATGCAGGAAAACAAGAGGAAGAAAATCTCTGGATTTTGATGCTTGACTTTTTAAGGAAGAATTGTAAATTTAAGTTATGTCTGTTTTTATTTTTCAGAATATGATTTCTAACAGTGATCGTTGTCAAGGTTATTAACTTTCTTCAAGACTTTCAGCTCACAGGACTAAGACTACAGACAGAATCTGACTACTGATGGCTATAAACGACAGCTTTTATTTCTTATTTTGTCCTTAAATCTATAAACTGCAAGACAACTGTTGAAACCTTAAGTACATTTTCATTTCAATAAATTAACTGCAAAACACTTCACATTCCTTTTTGTTCTCTCATAAAACAGAGGCTTTAGGGCCTTCCCATAGCATGCTTTGTGAGGTGAACACACAGAGAAGGCATTATGGACTTTGGGCTGTGGAAATAAAGATTCTGAAAGCATTTTCCTCCTCCCCATCTTTGATCCTCTTTTTGGAAATAGATTTTTCTCTTCCCTCATTACCACCATCTCTCCAACGAGTGCCTCTGAGGGCCCCAGACTCCTCAGTTCTGATGTTGGTTGTGCTCAGAGTCCTGCATCCAATGCAATCTTCATGTCCACTCTGAGCCCTGCTTGTCATGGCTGGTCTTCTCACAAGATCTTGCTAGGGTGTGCATAACTGGGAGGAGACAGATATGTGAGGTGGTCTGGGAAAAGAGGGGAGGTGAATTAACATTTTGATATTTGCTATTTGTGTATTTAGGTATTTTTTAATTTAAAAATTATATGAAAATATTATTTACCATGATTACTGAGTTTTATGCTACCTCCTTCATTGGTTTGACTTCCCCTGGTCCTATCCCAGCGAATGGGAATGCGTTCCATTCTCAGGTTCCCATGCTGAGCTGCAAAGGCAATGAAGGTAGAGGGAAATGTATATGGTATGAAAGAATAAAGCAAAGCAAGTTGCATGTAAATTCAATCTAGGTCTTCTTCACTTTGCAGTTTCAAGCATTCCTATCACTGGGGCTAAGTGACTGCCATCTCTTCGGCTCATACCTCAGTTTTTCCCTCTTTTTTCCTGGGCCATCTTCTCATCCAGGAAGACTCTTGTCTATTTCTTAGGACAATTTGAATACCCCAGGGTCAATTCTTGTCAGGAACAGCAGGTAAAGACCCACAATACTTTTGCAGGTCAATGAAAATACCATGCTTACTTTTAAAATCCTGAGCCTACTCTTGGTTCTGCAGTGATGTAACGCTCTGTGATGCTGTCCCTATGTAGAAGGTCCTGGGTTCATGTGTCAGAGTTTCCCATGCCCACCAGTCACTTTGAGGCTGATGCTAGAAGTGGACAGTGGTGTGGGTACCTTTTTTGGACATTCCTGAGACTCTCTTTCTTCCTCTCCTTCTTTCTCATGGAAAACATATATGGATAAGCTTTAAAAACATTCTCACCTAAAGAAAATATATGAGTCCAGCAAAGATTTTATTTGTCTTTGTACCAATGTAGTTATCAGTTATAATGTTTAGTGTGTTTTTATTGCAAAGTAGCCCAAAGCACTGAAAAGTCAGACCTAGCACTGTGTAAGGAGCTCTGAGAGATGAAACTCTGATGTGTTTGGCTTGGCCCCATGGCATTAGATGTTGGACATGGATGTTTACAGACCAGGGAATGAAGCCTTATTGGCCCAGAACTGGAGTCCGTAGGGGTCACACAGCCAACCTTAACAAGTTTAAAACACTTGAAATCATATAGGATATTTCTCTGAGTATAGTGAATGTAAACTGAAAGACAAGAACAGAATAATAATAATAAAATCTCCAATTATTTCATATTGCAATATCATACTTTGAAATGATTAATAGGTCATTAAATATTTAAAAAATCCATTAGTAAAGTATCTGACTCCAGCACTAGACTGTGAACTGTGAGTGGGCAGAAGTAATGGTGATATTATCAACCAGGGGGTCCTCATTGCCTAAGTTGTGAACTCAGGACTCAGAGACTAATGAATGGGGAATGAGGGCATAGATACCCACAGTTAAAACTCCTATAAAAATACACTGGGGGGAACCAGCAGTTAGTGTAATGGCTATGTTGCTGGATTCCCATGTAGTCAACCGCGGTTCACGTCCCGGTGACTTAACACTCACGCTAATGAACTTAATTAGTCTAAATATATCCAATAGCTAGCATGGCTGATATATACCTATACATGAACCCAAGTCTGACTTTAGGCATAAACCTCAGTGAGTAGAGAGAACATACTATAAAGTAGTACCTAGCTGGGGCTATATAGCTTACTGCAGTCATCAAATATGCATTTTTAAAAAATTTTGATATGAACAGTTTTACTGTTTTTTTTTTCCTGCAACTTTTTTTAAAAAATTACTTAACGTTCATTCCCTGAGCATCATCACAACATACTAAATGTGGTTTCCCATCTAGAATAAACTGCATAGTG